CCTATTGTTGGGCTGGCTCCCTTGGTGCAGTATGGGTAATAAACTGCTTCACAACAGCCCCCAAACAATCAATGGGAAATTATCTTGCCAGATCGATGTCTGGGCTTTCAGAAGTTGCCTCGCCAGCCAATGCCGAATACTGGGACTCAGCAGCTCTACGCAACCATTGGCTGGAGAAATGCATCTCCATTAGATTGTGTTTGTGATTTTGTAGTTATATAGGGTATGTTATGTTTAGATCTCTCTTAAATTAAGGTTTTGATTCTGGAATAGTCTTAGCTGATTTCAGATGTGCATCAATTGCTCAGTTTGTTTCGAAAAAGTATGTTATATCAAAAATCTCTTTCTCTGTTTGTTGATCTGTTCATTCATGTGAAATTCTCTTCTTATGGCTTTGTGACAGTGTGCTTTGAAATAGCATTCAGATGCATGCTCTGAACAATTGTTTACAGGTTTTTGCTTTCCCGGAGCCACAGGTTTAATAGGGCGAGACAAACAAAAAGACAGCATCTGATAAGCCGGCTTTAGCGCATGTCGTGTTGCGTGACTCAAATTTTGGTCAGGTAACAGATTTCATCAGCATGAGCTGTTTGAAGTGAGCCAGACTTTGCAGTCGTTGCAGGTTGACAGATGCTAGCGCTGTACATCTTGTGCTGAATGCTGCCAACTGATCTGAAAAAGCGGCCAGCTAAGATCAAGGGGTGGAATTGAGAGTCTTTGCTTTCCCACAGAATAGAGATGCTGATGCCAGCCAGATCAGCATCATCTCCTTTGCTATCGATCGAGTGGCTCCAGTTTCAGAACTGAAGACTGCTGAGAGCCTCGTACTGGCGGCTCTTAGCTACAGTAATGCAGCGTTAGGAATCACAGAATCTCACCGCTGAACAATCTGACAGAACTAGAGGAAAATATTAGCCTGAAATTGAGATTTCTTGAGCATTTGCAGTTCTTGAAGATTAATTCTAGAATCTATTAATTCTAGAATTTTTTAGATGCAGGGAACACTTCGACTTAATTTGACAAAATCGCTTCATTCTTGTCTATCTGTTTTCCTCTAGCAGAGCAAGGATGGTAGCCTGGGAAAACCCAGACAACTTCCGGCAAATTCAGATTTGCTCTGAAAGTTAGTCTGGCAAAGAGCTCATTCAAGCCCATTTCCAATCCGGCCGAAATCGAGGCAACAATCAGAAACGTTGGGGCGGGCTTTACACGATGACGACAGCGCTGGGATTTTGATAGTGATGTATGTCTCGAGACCGGTCTTGGTCTCGAGACCACTTTTACGTGGTCTCGGTCTTGTCACGGCCTTGAGGGTCTTTGGTCTTGGTCTTGTCTTGGTCTCGGACCTTTCGGTCTTGTCTAAGTCTCGCTGTCTCAGACCGACATAGTGGTCAGGGGATTGAGCAATACAATACTACAATATCCACGACGATATCCGCAACGTATTGAAGCGCGCGTCCGAGTGAAGACAGTGCGGTGCGCGCGAGCCACGCGAGAAAACACTGTATCCGCGCCACTGATCGCAGCGGCAACGAGCACTTTGATCACTTGATTTAAAAAACACATATCATGTACAGTTTTTGATATATTAATATTTAGGGGGCTTTTACACTGGGCTCGTTTGCTGCGGTCCGAGCCCGAGCGCGTTTGTTCCCGGCGCCCCCCGCAGCGTTGGTCTGGTTTCACACACAACTTGATTCTATCGAACCCTGGTGCGTTTGCGTGCATATGACGTCATCGCAAACGTGCACGGCGCATGATAGAAAACAGAACGCGGGTCAATATTGTGTTTTTTAAAATTAATTCGCTGCTATAATGCGCAGTTGAGTGAACACTACAGGTTTACTGTGCGTGTGTCATACAAGGTGGACTTCTGCTGCTTGCAAACGTACTCTTTTTAGCAGACAGAGGATTTCCAACTTGTTGCCCTGATTCCACGCGCAATGCACGAATACACTGCACGCAGGCTCACTCTCGCTCGTATCCAAGGTAAATCATCAACACTATCATCCCTTACAAGCGTTTTATTTAACGAAATACATCACAATAAGCTAAAAACGCATGCGCAGGTTACTTTACTTCCTGAACAAGTGCGCACCCGAGTCCGTGTTGCTTACACATTCACGCGAACCGCGGCACGGTTCGGGAGCAACCGAACTCAGACCACTTCTTCCAGGTAGTCTCGGGTTCGGTATCCCAGTGCGCACCCGGGTCCCATGACAGCGTTCACATTAGCGATTTTTCATGCGAACCGTGCCCCGTTCCGAACTAAACTGCCAGTGTGAAAGCCCCCTTAGTAAAACACATATCAGTGACATGATGGGTTTTACCTTCATTCAGGAGATTTTGGGTAACTGCACAACTGACAGATGACTTTGAGCGCACCGCCAACGGTGTGTGTGTGTGTGTGTGTGTGTGTAACCATAGCGACAAAAACGACCAACTTTCGGATCCTGCACTTAAGCCTATAATTTCGTTTTTAAAAATATGATTATGTATTTAAAAGTTGCAGAATGGATTCATTTGGAGACTTCGAAATCAGCAGAGATAGGCAGGCAAATGCAAAACAACATTTGACAAGTTATTGCTTAGCTTCAACACTAATGTTTTTTTCCCCTCCGGTCTCGACTTGGACTTGGTCTCGGTCTTAGTCTCGACTTGGTCTGTCTTGGTCTTGGTCTTGTCTTGGTCTCGATACCATCTGGTCTTGGTAGTGTCTTGGTCTCGGTTTAGGCGGTCTCGACTACAAGTCTAGATTTTGAAGCAGATTTTGTAGCCTACATTACAAAGATGGATGCCGCCGTCGAACATCACTCGTTCGAATCAGCTATCGCGTCTGTTTTAAGCGATTCGAACGTTTCCTTTTTGTCAAAAACCGAGCAAAGAACAACACTCGGAGATGTTTCTCCGCCGCTCTGCATACGTCATCTCCTTCATCGCTCTGATTGGGTTTAGGTCTATCCGCGACGTCCGTTGGTGACGCCCCTCTGGAAATGATTTGTCTATGATGCTTTGCCAGACCATAACTCAGTTACAACTGTTACAACTGAGAATGGTCTGGTTTTAACCAGGCTACAAGGATGGCCTTCCTAATAACAAAACCCAATCCGAGTTGGACTTTTAACAAAAGTAGTCACTTTATGGTAAAATGTATTTACAGAAGCTCAACAAATATGCAATACCACCTAAGAGTGAAACACTGTTATAAAGAAGATGCCAGAAGATGCTGCGGCATCAATATAATAATATATATATATTACACTTTTATTCCTTGCAAGATTAACTGCATTTGGAAAGAAAAATAATACATTTAGACTTTTAGCAAATTTAAAGTTATTAATCATTCTTATGGTGCGTTCACACCGGACGCGAATAGCGCGTCAGGCGCGAGTGATTTCAATGTTAAGTCAATGCAAAGACGCGTTACGCGCGTAAAAAATTCCTGCGGCGCGAATGAGGCGTAGAGCGCGGCGCGGTAGACGCGAATACGCCTCATTCGCGCGTCAAGTTCGCGCGAATGGCGCGAATTGAGCGTCTGGCGCGTTAAGCGCGAATGATTTAGTTAGTGCTATTTGTGCATTCACGCGTTTGACGCGAATTCGCGTCTGCCGCCCGAGTTGAAAAATCTGAACTTCTGCATCAATTCGCGCCGCGTTAACCAATCAGGAGCCTAGCTGCTTGCTGCTGTCACGTGGTGAAGTATCTGGATGCTTCAATAAATTATTTTGTAATATATGACTGTGGTTCTAATGCACAACAAAGCAAATATTTTATCACATAAAACTTGATTTCAATATATGAGACATATTCATTTTGTATTGAATGCTATTTATTCCATATCTAGATTATATGAAATATTATTATAATGTAAAGACAACCAACATATAAGTTAGTGTCTGGACAGTGATGTGTGAGAGAGAGAAAAAAATCACAGGACAGATTAATCACTTTTGGAGGCTGGCTTCGTTTATTATCAAAACAAAAATAAATGACAGATTAGGTGGATGCGGATGAGGGTGAACCTCGCGCCGGGCTGTAGAGAGCGGGCTCGACAGGCATAGACCACTCGAGGCCGAGGGCTTATACGGCCTACGCTGTCCTCGTCGGCGTCCTCACCATTAGGTCCACCAAACCTGGCTCCTGGAGCAAATTGTGAAACTCTTGAAACCCTCCGGAGGTTCTGGTGGACCCGAGTACAGCGACGATGTCCCCTACGCAGCTGTTTCTGCTCTCCAGAGCATATACGAGCGGTGACTCTCTCGAATAATGCTAATGCTAATGCTCGATAAACATCTAAAAAGATGGCCGCCAACGGGTTTCGAAACTTTCGCCTCCGGATTTCGCCTCTGACGCGCGTAAATTTCGCTTCAAACTTTTGTTGTTACGCGCGTCAATTTCGCCATTGACACGCGAATTAACACAAAGTGGTCAAGCGTCAAACTAGACGCGGTAGACGCGAATTTGACGCGCTATTCGCGTCCGGTGTGAACGCACAGTAAGAGCTAAAAAAAAAAAAAATACATTAGATTAGTCATCAATGCAATACTTGAATCTATTGACATCCGTACAGAACTTTTATTCTGTGTCATTTTAATAACAAATCACATGCAATGGAAAATTCGTTGCACATCATTCTAGGAAGAAAATTGAAGCTCTCTGAATGCTAGTTGGTTGTCAATCCGTATTCTCCGAATTTGTTTCTCTTTACACTAAACAACTGAACTATTCTGTGAATGCAACATCTAGATTTAAACCTGTCCCTGAGTAATGATGTATCAGTGTGACTTTCACAGCACTGCAATCCCTATATGTACGATGAGAAAGTGTGAAAAAGGTGTTGCAAGTGTGAATGTGTGTGTAAACGGATTCATAAATTCTCTCTTCCTGATCCCAGCCCTCAGCTCAGCGGGGCAGCTTTTGGTTGTTTGACAGGGAGCTTTGAAAAGGTCACTGGGACTTGAATCACCATTAACCTCACCCCTCCCCACTCTCTCACACAGGGAAACTGGAGAGCCAGAGCCACCAAAGTGCCAAGAAGTGTTTAATGCAGCCGGCGTGACCCGAAACAAAGCCGTGGCGGTCAAGAGACGAGGAACGGAGTCGTCGGCCGTGTCAGACAGTGGGAATGATGCATATGGTGACCATCGATAGATAACGTTCCCTAACTTTTCTGCAATAAAAGGCTGAAGACTACTTGTGTATCTGGTCTTTAATACATTACACATAATATATCTGTTATAATCCAGTCTTTTTTGCCATATAATTAACCAGCTCCCTTTTAATCTCAATTGGATTTCCAGCTCATAAAGCCGACGGTCTGAACCAGACCCGCTTGGCTGAGCAAGGAATTTTCTGCTTACTAAAGAGGCAATTGTGCTCATATTGGAGCTGCTCTTGTTATTTGGGCCACAAAGCCTCTCAGGTTTTTGGGCCTGCTCTCTCAGAGTGATTGAGTGGCCTCTTTGTGACACAGGCATCTCTGCAGCAGAAAGAGCAAATGACTGGCTCCATTAACGGGAGATTGCATGATGGGAACTGCATTAAAGTGGCCATGGAGCGTATATTTCCCTCTTCTTGTGCAAAACGGGACGTTCAACACGGGGAAATACATCAACATGATAAGTGGTTAGCTAACATCTGCGGTCTGGTGAATGGAGAGTCTGTTCTGGGATTGCTTCACTTTTTTGGAGGGGTTGGAATATCATATGTGAATCATTTTGAGTAATTCTCTCAAATTAATAATAATATTTAAAAAAAGTAAATTTCATACCAAATTCCTCTAATGCGAAAAAAGTTGTGATTGACTGTGAGTTTTAAAAATGTGTTTCTTCTAATTAAAATAGTACAATTATTTGAAATAAATTGGTTATATTTTGTATTACACAAATGCAAATTATACTTATTTTATATTTCACATTTACAGCACACTACTAACAGTTGAGAAAGGAGGAAATGCGCTTAACTGTCATAAAGATAACGTTTAAATAAATATATGTATTTTAAGAAAACGCATGTGTAACAGTATAATGGATCCGTGCGTCGTGTCTTAAAGGATTAGTTCACTTTTAAAAAAACTTTTGCTGATAACTTACTCACCCCCATGTCATCCAAGATGTCCATGTCTTTCTTTCTTCAGTCGAAAAGAAATTAAGGTTTTTGATGAAAACATTCCAGGATTTTTCTCCATATAATGCACTTTGCTGGGCACCAAACGGTTCAAGGTCCAAAAGACAGTTTCAGTGCAAACTGGAAACTTTTCAAAGGGCTTTAAACGACACCAGACGATGAATAAGGGTCTTATCAAGCGAAACGATCGCTCATTTAAAAAAGAAATAACAAAGTTTAAGTTTTATAAGCTCAAATGCTCGCCTTGCTCTGTTCTGTGTGACTCTCCTGTTCGAACTCGTTCATCAAAATGAACAAATCTTTTTTCGAGTCATTTGGTTAAATGAACGAATTGACTCGGAAAAAGATTCGTTCATTTTGATGAACGAGTTCGAACAGGAGAGTCACACAGAACAGAGCAAGGCGAGCATTTGAGCTTATAAAACTTAAACTTTGTTATTTATTTTTGAAATGAGCGATCGTTTCGCTTGATAAGACCCTTATTCATCGTCTGGTGTCGTTTAAAGCCCTTTGAAAAGTTTCCAGTTTGCACTGAAACTGTCTTTTGGACCTTGAACCGTTTGGTGCCCAGCAAAGTGCATTATATGGAGAAAAATCCTGGAATGTTTTCATCAAAAACCTTAATTTCTTTTCGACTGAAGAAAGAAAGACATGGACATCTTGGATGACATGGGGGTGAGTAAATTATCAGCAAAAGTTTTTTTAAAAGTGAACTAATCCTTTAAAGTGACAGCAGCCTAAAATGCCTGCTGCCAAATTATGATATAATATAAAAAATATCTATATGGCAGTTTTTCCCCCATGGTATCAATGTCAAAAATGTTGAGTAGTAACTTTGGAAAACTGGGCAGCAAAAAAGTTCATGTCAAGCCCTGTTTATATTTATTCGAGCTGAAATGTGACCTCATGTGTTCATATGATCCACCCATTTTACAGCATGTCGGTCACTTTGCTTCTTTTTTCCATCATATTGTAATGTGCGACTAATTGTCCAAAACACTAATAGCGTTTGAGTGTGAGATCGAGCCTTTTGAAGCCACTAATCACACTCGCTCAGCTACGGGTGCTGGGACGCTCCTCTGTGCCGGAGTACAAAGTTTTCTCGGGAAGTGCGGAACACCTTCCTAAATTCAGTTTTCCACAGAGATTTGATCTTGGGTGGGCTTCGATACACGGCCGATGCTGGCCGGATTTATAAATGAAAATGTTTCTCAATAAAACAACATTATCATGGAGCATTTAAACAAATATCCTGCGTTTGTTTAAACACACAGTATGAGCTATTAAAAGCACGATTCAAGTGTGAAGGAGCTAATTATCTTATGAAAAGCTTATGTTTTTGCATCTGAATGAGGGGGCATTTTAAAAGAGGCTTAGGTTGTAGAAGGAATGTCAGCAGCAGGTCTTCCTGTTCTCAGTCAGCACTTTCCTCGCAGGCGTTTCCTTCTCTCACCACTGTTTGACAGGCCTAACCCCGAATAAAAGAAAGTGCAAATGAGTGTACCTGTGGCTACAGACACGACGCTGCCACCCAGGAACCAGAAACCGCGCGAGAAGAAGTCTCTCCCCACGGCAGAGTTTCGGATGAAACCTGGAGATGCCGGTTTGTCATCAGCCGGTTGGAAACTAGCATTGTTTGGGGGAGCTTTCCCAGTGTTCACTGAGCTATGCAAGAAGTGAAAGAGTAATACGCCTACATGCACATTTGTACATTATCAGGGCATTTCTGAGTGTTATAAATGTTTGCTATATTAACACATAAACTGATACGTCTGGGCTTAGTCAATGCCGTCAGTCATCATGTCCCAACTGAAATCAAAATCATTACAGATAAATCATGTTCTCAGCAGCAATGTTACTGTAGTACCAAATGTCAAGTGTTTAATCATTTAACTCCTCCTCTTTTAAAGGGACAGTTCCTCTAAAATGTTAACTATCATGTCAATTCAAACATGAAGGATGTTTAGCACAATGTCAACGCTGCTCATTTCCTAATACATGTGGCATCAGCTGTTTCCATTCACTTCTTTTTATGCACATTTTGGGATATCGCATAAAAACGCTGGATGGAAACGTAAGTACGGTGCATAAAAACACGCTCAGTTGAGGTGGATTTTTTTTATCCTTCAAGAGGATATGCGCATAAACAAAGATGAAAACACATTTACCGAATAAATCCCTCAATAAAAAGCATGTGACTGCCTTAACAGAGGATGTGATTGGATAACCGCACTTACCAGCGGACCAATCGCATCTCAAATGTTGGTTCGGAAGTTTCTGAGATAAAGTTTGTCATCACAATAGTCGGGTATAATTATAATTAGTGTCACATGATTGTGTTCCCAAACACCAGCATCCGAACGCAAGAGAACATGACAGCGTTTATTGTGTTTCGCCGGACGCTCTGAGACGAACTCATTCATGATGGAGGGAAAAAGAGCCACAGTTTCAACTTCCATTTTTATTACTGATTTTTCTTTTTATTACTGCAATTTCCCAGGAAGCGACTGTTGTTCTCTTGAACACATGGGATGGAAATGCTGCTATATTTACTCGCATCAAATGTTTAATGCCATATTCCAATTTTGTGCATCAGTTAAATTCGCAACTTTGGATGGAAACACAGCTAGTGATGTCATATCTACAGCTCGTGATGTCATATCTGCACCATATAGCAAAAAAAAAGAAAGAAAAAAGATTGTGTTTCTTTAGAAGGTTTGCAAAATAGCATACAGACCCCTTTTATCATTCTTTTATGGTCCCTTTTTGTGTGTCTTTTTTAGGCTTGGCAGCCCCTGGTCACTTCCCACTTTCACTGTATGCTAAACTGCTAAAGTTCGGAAATGGGTTTGGAACGACATTTCATAAGAGTTTCATGTAGGCAGGATAATTAAATTGTGATTTGATTATTCAGAATGACAGTAAAAAACCACGGGCTGTTCGAACGAGTCCTTTTTATTATCCTAAACTGAAGAATGTTAATGCCATTCATTGCAAGTGAATCATCTAAATAATATTTAGTCACTGACGAATTAATGGTCATTCAAAGAAGTTAAAGTAAAAAAATTTTTTTTTGGTGCATTTGCTTTTAACTAAATTTAGTTTGAATTTGATGCAAACTCTGAATCAACATGCACTAATGCTACATTTTTCTATATGTCACAATAATTTGTAACAAACATGTATTCATTACTTCATCATCAATTCATTGTTTCTGCCTTAAATTATTACATTGTTTAAATTAATACATTTTTAGCTTACTGTGTGATTTGTATATGTACATTTCTGAAATACATAACAGTCACCTCTGATAACAGATCCCTCTAAATTGTAATGTGGACTCGTGCATTTTCTGTAAAGCTGCTTTGAAACGGTGTGTATTGTAAAAAGCATTATACAAATAAATGTGAATTGAATTTGTAAAATCAATTTGTCATTTCATATAAAAAAAAAAAACATTAAGAAATATTTTAAAACAAGACCAGGAAGAGGAAAACAAGTTAAGGGAGAAAAAAAAGAGGCTTTTTAAATGTGTTGGACTCATAAACACATACAAACACATGTTGGAAATTCCGGGAAGGATATCGACTGATCCAGTTTCCGCGTCTTACCGCGCACTGCGCGCGCAGGGTTCGATCCATCCGGATCATTCTCCTGGATTTCATGGCGCTTCCTCCTCCTGCCCTTTAGTTACATTGTATCCCCCTTACTGAAAGGAGCGAGGGATCTAGGACTCAACTCAAGGGAAAAAATGAATGAATATACGTGAAAATGGACGTGCCGAGATGTTGGATTTATCGTCTTGGAGTTTAAGAAAGACGTATTTGAAGAAAGCTGTGAGATTTCGATCCTGCGATGCCAGTTTCAGGGCAGTGTTTGCATTTCTGAACGGGATCTTTAGGAGTGTGATGGCTGCTGGCCTTCCTTTTCTCTAGTTGCTGGATGTGTTGGGAAGTGCACTGCTTTGGGATCATTTTGGGAATTCCGTGCGCAAATCCAGAGGCCTTTCCACCTTCCTCTATGGAATGTACATAAGTATTCTCTGGATAGGGGTTCGCGTGTGGGGTAAGTGACGCTGGGATTAATGCATTTCTTTTGTGTGTGTGTGTGTGTGTGTGTGGGTAGGGGGTGGTGTTTTATTGGTGCAGATGGAGACTGGAGGTGCTTTAGCCCGTTAGCTTAGCTCGGTTGTCATGGCTCACACATGCTTTGACCATCTTAGAGAGTAATTTCCTTAAGAGCAACGCGTCGCGGACCAATGCGCTCGAACAGCGCGTTAGGTGCGGCGAATCGAACAACGAGTCCCAGTTTACTCGATTACGAGCACAAATAAACGGGTTGCTAGTCCATAAACACCCCGACAGTGCTTAAAACGACTGTGGTTTGTTTATGCTGGAGTTGCAGTTCTGTGTGGAAGAGCTCGAGTCTGTTATGAATGTCAAAGGATGTGTGTGAGTTATGAGAATATTCGCAGTGAATCACTGCTCAAACACAGAACTCACTCCAGATAACACACAACCTTCAACAGTCACGTCTTCAGAGCAGTCCTAACACACTAACAAAAGGTACCATGTTGTTACCATGGCGTTTTGACATGATATCATGATTATATCATGGTTTTTGGACGCGAGGCATGATAGTACCAAGTGGTATTCTTTCAAGTATATTCGATTACAATGTAAATTACATGGTATATATGTCAGTACTGTGTTATTAACATTTGATGCCATATTTCTACATTGATTTTCCCACTGATTCTAAATAATCGTAACAATTCCACAAGTTTAACCAGTGTTGTTGATTGAGAAGAGGCAAATATTAGCTCTTCAACTACACTCATTCTAGTTTTCATGGGCTATTTAAAATGGGATACTATGTCAAAACCTAATTTTAGTATCTTTCATATAAATTGAAAATAATTTTTTTGCTGCCTCCTTTTAATTTCATAAAATTATTTATTTTGGTTCTGAACGCTGACAAAAAATGTGTTGGTGTATGTTTTCCTGTCCATTTTATACCATTTTCTGATAGTTGCAGATGTAACACCATGGTATTCATTGTCCATGTAAATACCTTGGTGTGTTAATATAATCTAGATATATTTATTCAATGGTACTGCACTATAGCTAGGGGAAGCTATTCAGTATGAGTGTGACTGTGAATGAAACTGAAATGCATTTGCCCTATTGTATTGTTTAAAGAATTAGCACAGATAGCCTCAAATAAAGACAAGCAGGGAAACCGTAATAAATAGCATATGGAAATAATCAGCTTTCCGAAGAAACCCTAGACTTTATATGGTCTTAGAAAGAAGTGTTATAAAACGGGCTATGTGAAGAGTTGGAGCAGACACCTGCTGACATCCTCAAGATGAGCTGAAGATGTTTCCTTGTTCAGAAAATCATTTAATGAGCCTGAACTTGGGTTTTACATTTAGTACTTTGTTTACAAGTTCCTTCTTTTGGAAACAGATTATGTTAATACAGTCAGAAGCATGATCATATGGCTCGTTTTTATTGGCCTCACATCATCATCTGCCTTTACTCTTAGAAGAAAAGGTTATATTCATATATAGAACATTTTGGTTCCCATCATGGGATCATTTAATGGGTTTAGTTTTAATTAATTAACTTTGTTTTCATTAATTTGTTATTGTGATTCAATTTTATGAATGAAACGGCTCGTAAAAATATTTGTCCCTATAAATAATTGGAATAACCTGTTAAACATAAAATGATTATGCAGTCATTTAAAACATTTCTCCTTGTATATCCCTCTATCCTCTCCTTTTTGGCATTCAGGGTTCTTTAAAATTGAGTGAAGAACCCTAGGGTTCTAAATAGAACTCCATTGAAGTTCTATATAGAAGACTAATTTTGAAAGTGTTCCCTCAAGATTTTTTTTTTAATTTATGAGAAAAATAAGGTCTGTGGTAGAGCTGCGTGATTAATCGTTAAACGATGGCAATCTCATTCCCAAATGACAACGATTCTCCTGTCTATGGAACCAAACACTGGAACATTCAAACCTGCGTTGCTGCCGCTGACCCAGAGAGAGCAAATGTCACGTATAGGTATGAAACCGCACACAGCTTAGTTATTTCTGTGTTACAAATATTCATATCACAGAAGAATTGGGATAAAAGTTTATAGTTCAGATATAAACACTGATGTCTACGGTAGCGATCAAAATAGAGTAAATCACCTTTTGAAAGTGACTTGACGCTTCAAATAAAGATTATATCATTACACCAGTAGGTGGCGACACGTGACTGTTAAAAATGTATTTGTCATTGAATCATTCATTCAAGAGATTCGTTCAAAAATGCTGATTCATCCAGTAATGAAACAAGTCTTTATGAGTGAGTCATTGAATCGTTCATTTAACCTGTTTAAAAAAAAATATATATATTCAGATTAATTAAACATTTTAAATAGACTGTTGCAATTAAAATGTGTCAAAGGCTCTAGTAAATTAGGCCTGCATGTGATTTTGTTTAGTTGTCTGTTCAGAATCGTAGGAGAATAGTGATTTCTGTTTGAAACGGAAAAATCATGATCCTCAATTGATCATCTGTGTTAAACAAAAGTTAAATACTTGGATATTTTATCCTACAACATAAATTACACACACCCGTATCAAAAATGTGAATTTTGAAGCGATTATGTTTGTATATATATTTTTGTATGTTTCTAATAAGTAACTTAATAAGAGCGTTTAAGTTGCGAGTGTGCGTAATTTACGTTGTGGAACAAAACATTAAAGTATCGTCGAATTACGTTTAACAAAGAGCTTATTTTACTCAAAACCCCATTATAAAAACCCATAGGGAACCACTGGCGGGTTCACGACTGCAGCACTATTAGATGGTATCGGTAATACTTCAAAGATATCGTGACACTATGTGCCAAAAAAATGCATTATTATGATTGGTGTTTTGACACCAAAACAGGCAAATATGTGACATTTGATATCATCTGCTCTCAATACGATTGTCAGTTAATTTATCAGTAATAATGTTGTAGAGTACTCATGTGGAGATGAGTTGGCAGTCAGCCGGAGGGCGAATCTCTGTCCTGCGTCTCACACACAGTTATTTCTCCTTTTAGCTGTTGAGTTTTGTCTGCAGGCCAGAGCTACATGTTAAGGAAGTTTGTTTTCCGCCACAGAATGAAAAATAAAAAAGGTAATTGCGACTTTTTATCTCACAATTCTGACTTTTTTTCTCACAATTGTGAGTTTACATCTCGCAATTCTGACTTTATTTCTCAGAATTGCGAGATATAAAGTCGCAATTGCGTGTTATAAAGTCAGAATTGCGAGATATAAAGTCAGAATTGCGAGATATAAAGTCAGAATTGCGAGATATAAAGTCAGAATTGCGAGATATAAAGTCAGAATTGCGAGATATAAAGTCAGAATTGCGAGATATAAAGTCAGAATTGCGTGTTATAAAGTCAGAATTGCGTGTTATAAAGTCAGAATTGCGTGTTATAAAGTCAGAATTGCGTGTTATAAAGTCAGAATTGCGAGATATAAAGTCAGAATTGCGAGATATAAAGTCAGAATTGCGAGATATAAAGTCAGAATTGCGAGATATAAAGTCAGAATTGCGAGATATAAAGTCAGAATTGCGAGATATAAAGTCAGAATTGCGAGATATAAAGTCAGAATTGCGAGATATGAAGTCAGAATTGCGAGATATAAAGTCAGAAATGCGTGATATCAAGTTGAAATTGCGTGTTGTAAAGTCAGAATTGCGAGATATAAAGTCACAATTGCGAGATATAAAGTCAGAATTGATTGATATAAAGTCGCAATTGCGTGTTATGAAGTCAGAATTGCGAGATATGAAGTCACAATTGCGAGATATAAAGTCAGAAATGCGTGATATCAAGTCGAAATTGCGTGTTATAAAGTCAGAATTGCGAGATATAAAGTCACAATTGCGAGATATAAAGTCAGAATTGATTGATATAAAGTCGCAATTGCGTGTTATAAAGTCATAAATGCGAGATATAAAGTCACAATTGCGAGATATAAAGTCAGAATTGATTGATATAAAGTCGCAATTGCGTGTTATAAAGTCAGAATTGCGAGATATAAAGTCACAATTGCGAGATATAAAGTCAGAATTGCGAGATATAAAGTCACAATTGCGAGATATAAAGTCAGAATTGATTGATATAAAGTCGAAATTGCATGTTATAAAGTCATAAATGCGTGATATAAAGTCGCAATTGCGTGTTATAAAGTCAGAAATGCGTGATATAAAGTCAGAATTGCGAGATATAAAGTCAGAATTGATTGATATAAAGTCGCAATTGCGTGTTATAAAGTCAGAATTGCGAGATATAAAGTCAGAATTGATTGATATAAAGTCGAAATTGCGTGTTATAAAAGTGAAATTGCGTGTTATACAGTCAGAAATGTGAGATATAAACTATTCTGAGGGGAAAAAAGTTAAGTCTTTTTTTTCTTAGAATTGGCCTGATAACTCGCAATTGCGAGTTTATATCTCACAATTCTGAGAAAAGATGTCAGAATTTCGAGATATAAACTCGCAATTATGTGTTATAAAGTCAGAATTGCGAGATGTAAACTGGCAATTGTGAGAGAAAAAGTCAGAATTGTGAGATAAAAAGTCTCAATTCTGTCTTTTTTTCTCACAATTGCGACTATTTCTCATAATTGCGACTTTATATCTCGCAATTACGATTTTATTTCTCAGAATTGCAACTTTATATCTCGCAATTGCGACTTTATTTCTCAGAATTGCGACTTTATATCTCGCAATTGCGACTTTATTTCTCAGAATTGCGACTATATCTCGCAATTGCGACTTTGTTTCTCAGAATTGCGACTTTATTTCTCACAATTCTGACTTCATATCTCGCAATTGTGAGATAAAAAGGCGCTATTATTTTTTTTATTTTTTTTATTCAGTGGCGGAAACAAGCTTCCATAACATGTTTACTCTATACTTTACACTAGAAAAGTTTTGCTCAGCTTTGGTCTAGACAGCTGTTTTTGTCCAAATGTTTTTCAGCCCATGTATCGCGTAG